TGTGTATGTGTGTGTATGTGTGTGTATGTGTGTGTGTATATGTGTGTGTGTATGTGTGTGTGTATGTATGTGTATGTGTGTGTATGTGTGTGTATGTGTATGTGTGTCTGTGTATGTGTGTGTATGTGTGTGTGCGTGCGGGCTGGAGGCGGTCACAGCTCGCTCCGTCCCTTTTCATTTTCTGTTTTAACCCCCAAACCCCGTCGCAAGATCCTGTCGACGAATATAGCGGAGGGCGGCATCGCGTTGAACGACGTGGTGTTCGTGATCGACTCGGGGAAAGTGAAGGAGGTGCTGACACACGCGTGCAGAGAGCGCGTGCACGCACACACACGCGCACACACGCGCGCATCAGCGACGGAACGCTCTTCCACGAGATATCAGGGATCCCTGAATCTGTGTACATTTTTTTAGATGCCCCTCAAGACCTATTTATACGCTTCCGCTTATTACATTTTTTGTTCATTTAGCTAATTATTTTAAAAAATGTATTTATAATATTCTGTTCATGCTGAGTGTCTGCTGCTGCTGCTGCTGCATCTTGTACAGCAGCAGCCTCAACATTTTTGGCACCAGGGACCGGTTTCGTGGAAGACAATTTTTTTTCACTTGGGGGGCGGTCACGCTGCCGTGCGCCGGCTAGCCCATTCGCCGCTAGCAGCAAGAGGTTCACGGTTCGAATCCGGCAGGCGCCACCCTGGCTATCGCCACGAATGTTTTAACGATCCGATACGTTTCCACTGCGCGTGCGTCTGCTTCGGTGGAATGTTAAAGACCCCGTGACGTCATTCGAGATGAGTAGGCCATTGTGTACCGGCTTCACCGGCCATTTTTTTAATATCACCCCCCCCCCTCCTCCTCCCCCCAGCCAGTGCAGATTATTACTCAATTGGGTTCATAATAAGGTTTTTTGGATTTAAATTTCGATTTAAAGCTTTCGTGACTGCAATGATTCATCTTCTTTGGTTCTTTCGGTAAAGTCACCACCACGTAGAATGAGAATAAAATAATAAATTGATAAAATAAAATAACACAATAATAATATTCTAACACGACGTTTCGGCCACAACACAAGCGGCCTTCATCAGGTGAAGGGGACGAGACTGTCTGGTAGGAAGTCTGATTTTTTCCGATATAACAAGGAAATAATATTGGTCGCGAAAGCCCACGTGTTAAACTACTCAAATTGGGGTAGCAATATCGTCCCCCCCCCACCCCCCCCTATTGCGAATACTTAGCAGGACCCTCCTGAGACAAAGAGTTTTTTGAGACTGGGTGGCGATTCCCCCCCGGGTGAACAAGCAAAATAATAAATGATGGCTATAATTTTCGGAGAGATAAGCGGGGGTGGTAATGTTTTGCCGCTGGTTGGGTGACCGTGCGTCCGTCCTGCCCTGCAGAAATCGTACGACGCGCTCGCCTCGGCCACCATGCTCAAGACGGTCTGGATTTCCCAGGCCAGCAGCCTCCAGAGGAGCGGCAGGTATGGGTTTTCACGGGCGTGCATCAACACTGTTGGCACCTCCGATTAGCGAGAGAATGTCAACTATACACACGTACATAAATGCATCGTCTCTCGACGTCATCTCATCTGGTACAAGGTGACTCGTCACCGAGTGGGCTGTCGGTAGCTCCCAACACGACCATTTGCATAGTTCCCCGGCTGTAAGCGCGTCGGGGCAAAAGAGATGATGGGAGCGTGAATTCTGTAGCAAAAAAGTGCAAGGGGAGAAGCAAAGTGGGTGAGCGTTGTTAGTGAGGTGAGTGGGTGAGTGAGTGAGTGAGTGAATGCGTCGTAGTGTCGGGGTTTAGCACTACGCTGCGCTACGAACCCGGCCACCCTGGTTCGATTCCCGCTCGCGGTCAACCGCGGCGACGGTCATCTAAACCGTTCCTGCGCCGGGCGTGGCGTCGGCCACCCGCCTCCCCCTGAGCCGCAATGCCGGGCCCTTCGTAGGTGCCCGCTAGCGGCGCTTGTTCCCGCGGTCTGTTAAAGGCCGTACGGGGGGGGGGGGGCAGGATGTTTACATTTCTGTCACGAGGACACGACACGCCACGAACCGAGCGACCTGGGGTTTTTCGTCGCCGTGCTTTGCGACTCAGTTGGGGAATCTTCGTGTTGGCGTGACCTGCTGCGCTCGCGAGCGGTGGGACACGGCGGCGTCGACAGAGACGGAGGCACCGGTCCCGTGGGACGCGTCCACGGCGCGATTTGTGGAAGAAACGACAACGAGTGCCTGGGATATAAACACACACGCGGGGGGAATTCTCTCTCTCTCTCTCTCGTCTTCTATGCGTTTTTTGTGTCGGGGCAGGGCTGGGAGGTGTCGCCCCGGCATCTGCTTCCACCTGTTCAGCAAGGTGCGCTTCCGGAACATGCCGGAGTTCCAGGCCCCCCGAGCTGCTTCGAGAGCCGCTGCAGGTACGGACGACGCGGGCCAACGGGCAGCCAGAAGGCGCGCGAGGGTAAGAGCGCGTTCCAGACGGCGCGGCGAGTCGCAGACCACCAACAAATACTCGCCCGGCGCAACTGATGAATGCGAAGCGCTCGCAGCGCTCACAGCGAACACCCCCGGGGAGGGGGGGTGAGGGGGGCGCCGTCGCGTGCCATCGAGGGCCTTCTGGCTGACGTTGGCCCCTGTTCTGAAGAGATTTTTCGACGATCCTCACGAAGCCACGGCCGGTGGACACCGTCAGCGGTGTGACGCTCTGGCTCACTGTGCCTCTCTTCAGTATCCCAGGGATAGACGTTCATCATCGTCAATATTCATCATCGTCAATATTTATCATCATCATCGCCATCTTCATCATCGCCAATATTTATCATCATCGCCATCTTCATCATCGCCAATATTTATCATCGCCATCTTCATCATCGCCAATATTTATCATCGCCATCTTCATCATCGCCAATATTTATCATCATCGCCAATATTTATCATCATCGCCAATATTTATCATCATCGCCATCTTCATCATCGCCAATATTTATTATCATCATCGCCATCTTCATCATCGCCAATATTTATCATCATCACCATCTTCATAATCGCCAATATTTATCATCATCGCCATCTTCATCATCGCCAATATTTATAATCATCGCCATCTTCATCATCGCCAATATTTATCATCATCGCCAACTTCATCGTCGCCAACTTCATCATCGTCATCAGCAGCATCATAGCCCCTGACCAAGAGTGCCCCGGAATGCGCCACGTCTTGTGACGCGTGTGACGTGAGTGTAGGAAACGGCTTGCGTTGTGTACGGTGGGTGATGATCCATCATGAATGGTTCAGGTCGACACGTGAGCACAACAGCGACGCGTTGTCGTACAACCCCTCCAGCCAGCAAGGTTTTGTCACGTCAACAAAACGCGCCAATCAGTTTACTACTTCGGCACCACCGGCAGTGTTGGAGAGTGAATCCGCAACAATTACGATTTCAGCAGTACAACGTTTTGCCGGCAATTACGTCCCCGCATCATCGGGCAATTTTGCCGGAATAGATTTTTCCAGAATATAAAACATTCTTCTGCGGAGGGAGCTGGTAGGAACCTGTTGCGTTGCTCGGTCAATAGCCAGGGTCAACGGCGGCTCCGTGGTGTAGACCGCAAATATGTAGTGTTGTAAAGACGAGTAAACTTCTCAGGAGGCACACTCTGTTTATTGTAACTGTTCCTTACACAATCCTTAACACACACAGAGGGATATTCTGTCCCCTCACCCGATACCCTAGGGAGGTACAGCCTCCTAGCTTGGCGGGACTCGCACGTCTACCGCTAACCTCCTAGCTTGGCGGGACTTGCACGTCTACCGCTAACCTCCTTGATACCTAAGGAGGTACAGCCTCCGGACTTGGCGGGACTCACACGTCTACCGCTATCCTAGCCTAGAGTCCTCCGGCTTGGACCTAGGGGAGGCTATCTGACCCACCGCTGGCCCCGGTGGGTCCTGACCGCCGGGTATGGCGAGCCTTAGCCCTCAAAAGGGCTGGAAGGCTGGTCCAGGGTCCTGGCCTCTTGTTGCTGTGACAGCTCTCTCGCTGGTTCAGCTGTTCCACTGCTGGATTGTTTTTTTTCGCTTGCTGTGTTGCGATCGAAACATCGTGATGTTTTACCAAAAGAACCAAACACTGTGGATTCCTGCAGTCACGAAAGCCTCAAATCGAGAATCATTAATTCGTTTATTCATTTGAGATTTTTTTTTCTTGGTAATCGGGTTTTCATTTTCTTGGTAGTGGCTGTAATAAGCGATTCGGTCCTCATAAATAACTAATGTGTAGCGTCATAGGATACTGTTGTTGTTGTTATTATTATTACAACGCTTTTAAAGAATAGAAAAAGAGGATCAACGGGAGGGGGGGTGCCATCACGGTGATATTTATTTTGCGGGGGGGGGATCACCTGCACCACCTCTGCCGCTGCCACTGCTGCTGCAGGAGCTGTGCCTGCACACCAGGCTGCTGGCGCCGGCCTGCATGCCGGTCGCCGAGTTCCTGGCCAAGGCTCCGGATCCCCCGCCCAATCTCATCGTCCGCAACGCCCTGCAGATCCTCAAGGTGCGGTGCGGTGGTGTGCGTGCGTGTGCGTGCACGTGTGTGCGCGTGTGTGCGCGCGTGTGTGTGTGTGTGTGCGTGTGTGTGCGTGTGTGTGCGCGTGTGTGCGCGTGTGTGTGTGTGCGTGTGTGCGTGCGTGTGCGCGTGTGCGCGTGTGTGTGTGTGTGTGCGTGTGTGTGTACGTGTGTGTGTGTGTGCATGTGTGTGTGTGTGTGTGCGTGGAAATTCACGCGGCCTGACCCAAAAACCAATTGAGTCGCAACAATATACGTACGACGGAGAAAAACAAAAACCCCGGGTCGCTGGGTTCGTAACGCAAAGCGTGCTCACGGCACAGAGACAAATATCCCCCACGTAGCCTTGTCAGACGTTTCGGGGGCAAGGTGCCGGTAACGAGCGTGCACGAAGGCCGGCGCCGCACGCACCGGGGGTGGGTGGGTTGCCTGCACCGCAGCCGGCCATCATCTCTGTCTCCCCGAGTGGTAATGTTTACACACACCGCACCTGGTGGTACTCATTAAAGGCAGGCCATTTTAGGATCGGTTCAGATAATCGTCGGCGGCGTTGGCCTCGAGCGGGAATCAAAACTCGACGACGACCGCCGTTCGCCGCCGAGCGGCGGCGACATCACCGCGGCGCTCGCGCCGGGCCCGCGTGCTCTCTAAGGCCGCGTGAAGCGTCACGGGGGCCAGACCCCCAAAGCGCCGTGGCTGACGACGACGCGCAGGCATCAACCCAGGAACGCGCGAGCGTGTTCGCGCTCGCGCGCGCGCGCGGTAGGCGATCGACGCGATGGACGACCGGGAGGACCTGACGGAGCTGGGTCATCGCCTGCTGGACCTGCCCACGGAGCCTCACCTGAGCAAGATGGTGCTGCACGGCGTCGTGCTCAAGTGCCTCGACCCGGTGCTCACCATCGCCTGCTCGCTCGCCTGCCGCGACCCCTTCGCGCCGCCCGGCCAGCCGGCGCACAGACGCGCCGCCGCCGCCTTCTCGCGCAAAAATCTCGCCGCCTTCACGTTCAGCGATCACATGGCCCTGCTCCGGGCATTCCAGGTGGGGTGACTGACGCAGGTTGCAGTTGTCGCGTGGGCGGGAGGGAGGGAGGGAGGGGTATGTTTGGCAGGTCGGTCGGTCTGTGAGACTGGTAGTAACAACAATAATAGTGATTTGCATTTCATCGAGCGCCACTCCGTTACACTGTGGCATTTCGGAGAGCACTTTCCACGTGATAAGCGACATCCATAATAAAGGTTTTTTTGTTGTCGGTTATATCGCAGTAAATATAAATGTTGTGTCGTTAAATCGCCACCACCCGACGCAGCCAATTAGTGAGGTTTGTCACATCAACAGAATGAGTTTCGTCTTCAGCACACCGGTGTGTTGGGAGAGTAAACCCACCACATTTAAAATTCAAGCACAAACAAACCTTACTTATTGGCCGTGTCGGGTTTAACGACACATTTATATTTGCGTGATCTAACCCAAAAAAAATATACATTTTTCTGGATATAATTTGTCGTCGAAGCCCACTGCGTTTTTTGGTTTGGGCCATGTTTGTTTGTTGTAGTACGGAGTTCGACTGATGGCCTTAATCTAAGTTGTCTTGTGGTTGTTGTTGTTGTTGTTTGACTTGCATCCCACTGGGATTTTTGCACACAGCGTTGGTGGTTTACGGTGCTTTTTCTGGAATATTTTGCTGTTTTTTTCCTGGATTTTCTGTTTTGCACAAAGTCACACAGAGTCACGTAGTCACTTTAAGATGTTTTCTTGTTAGCGTTTTTTTGCTTTGTTGCCGTTGCACCACGATTCAAGAGCCGAATGGCTCACAGGGCTCCCCTGCCTGCACCAAATAAATGAAACTGAAACCGATAGGCGACACGCATCATCACACCTCACCCTGGACGCGCTACGAAGGGGCACCCCCTGTGTGGCACCACGAGGTGGCTCAGCACCTGGGCCTGCACGCGGGCATTCGTCCGTCTACAGCGGGCATCGATTTTTTTGCTCCTGAAAGTATGATCCAAGTGGCGGTGTAATATTTTGAAAATGGCACATTTTGGAGCGTGACGCATTTAAGGATCTGTAACGTCCACTCTAAGGCATTTCTATTTAAAGCTTTCGTGACTGCAAGGATTCATCTTCTTTGGTTATTTCGGTAAAGTCACCACGTAGAATGAGAATAAAATAATAAATTGATAAAATAAAATAACAATAAAATTCTCACGACGTTTCGGCCACTTGTGTTGTGACCACTTGTGTTATGGCCGAAACGTCGTGAGAATATTATTGTGTTATACTGGTAGGAACGAAGTTGTAAACTGAGTGTACCAGCCTGCAATAGATTAATGTGTCCGTCCGTCCGTCCGTCCCCTTTCAATACTTTAACGAAGTGAAATCTCGTGCTGTTGGGTGTAAAAACAGCGCAGAGACTTGTCCTACCAGCCCACCCTGCAGGAACCTGTTATTTTTTTATCAATGTATTGTTTTATTCTCATTCTACGTGACTTTACCGAAAGAACCAAAGAAGAACACTCTAAGGCAGTCAATTTTTTTTATTATTTTATCAAGCGAGGGCCTCCGAGCTACGTGGCTCTTTTTCAGAAGCGACCTGGCCGACAGACGATAGCCCAATGAAGTGGCTTATCGCGTGGAAATTTAACGCAGCCAAATACTTCTGAAATGCACGTTTCTGAATGCGGAGAGAGAACAAAAAACGGAGAAACATCCACGCGACCACGGGGAGAATATGCAAACTCCACGTGTGCAGCGGGCGTCGGGGGTCAGGATAAAACTCACGACATCCCGTATACCAGGCGAGGTAGTTAACATCCCGCAACCAAAAAAACCAGGGCCGGCCCGCCAGATTCGAACCGTGAACCTCTGCTGCATCTCCTGCCGGGCCACGTCACCGCCGCCTCTTTGAAAAGTTTATTTCCGTTGCGCTGTCTGCGTCTCCGTCCTGCCAGGCGTGGCAGAAGGCGTGCGCCGGAGGCTCGGAGCGCTCCTTCTGCGAGCGAAGCTTCCTGAGCCGGGGCACCATGGAGATGATCGTCGGCATGAGGACGCGGCTGTTGGGTCATCTGCGCGCGTCCGGTAGGGCGAGCGGCCGGGTCGGCCGGGAAAGTTTCAGCGGGCGCCCAGCCGGCGGCCGCTGTGATCCTGGGGTACCAGGTTTCGGCTTCCCGTCTGCGATGAAACTGGGCTACTAATGACTAGCGTAGAGACCCATAGACTCACATAGAGACCCATAGACTCACATTGAGACCCATAGACTCACATAGAGACCCATAGACTCACATAAAGACCCATAGACTCACATAGAGACTCAAATACTCACATAGAGACCCATAGACTCACATAGAGACACATAGACTCACATAGAGACCCATAGTCTCACATAGAGACCCATAGACTAACAAAGAGACCCATAGACTCACATAGAGACCCATAGACTCACATAGAGACCCATAGACTCACATAGAGACCCATAGAATCACATAGAGATCCATAGACTCACACAGAGACCCATAGACTCACATAGAGACCCATAGACTCGCATAGAGACCCATAAACTCACACAGGGACCCATAGACTAACAAAGAGACCCATAGACTCACATAGAGACTCAAATACTCACATAGAGACCCATAGACTCACATAGAGACACATAGACTCACATAGAAACCCATAGACTCACATAGAGACCCATAAACTCACATAGAGACCCATAGACTTACATAGAGACCCATAGACTTTCATAGAGACCCATAGACTCACATAGAGACCCATAAACTCACATAGAGACACATAGACTCACATAGTGACCCATAGACTCACATAGAGACTCAAATACTCACATAGAGACCCATAGACTCACATAGAGACCCATAGCCTCACATAGGGACCCATAGACTCACACAGAGACACATAGACTCACATAGAGACCCATAGACTCACATAGAGACCCATAGACTCACATAGAGACCCATAGACTCACATAGAGACACATAGACTCACAGTGACCCATAGACTCACATAGAGACTCAAATACTCACATAGAGTCCCATAGACTCACATAGAGACCCATAGTCTCACATAGGGACCCATAGACTCACACAGAGACACATAGACTCACATAAAGACCCATAGACTCACATAGAGACTCAAATACTCACATAGAGACCCATAGACTCACATAGAGACCGATAGACTCACATAGAGCCCCATAGACTCATATAGAGACCCATAGACTCACATAAAGACCCATAGACTCACATAGAGACCCATAGACTCACATAGAGACCCATAGACTCACATAGAGACCCATAGACTCACATAGAGACCCATAGACTCACATGGAGACACATAGACTCACATAGAGACCCATAGACTCACATAGAGACCCATAGACTCACATAGAGACTCAAATACTCACATAGAGACCCATAGTCTCACATAGAGACCCATAGACTCACATGGAGACACATAGACTCACATAGAGACCCATAGTCTCACATAGAGACCCATAGACTCACAAAGAGACCCATAGACTCACATAGAGACCCATAGACTCACATAGAGACCCATAGACTCACATAGACTCACATAGGTACCCATAAACTCACACAGGGACCCATAGACTCACATAGAGACCCATAAACTCACACAGGGACCCATAGACTCACATAGAGACCCATAGACTCACACAGGGACCCATAGACTCACATAGAGACCCATAGACTGACATAGGGACCCATAGACTCACATAGAGATCCATAGACTCACATAGAGACCCATAGACTCACATAGAGACCCATAGACTCACATAGAGACACATAGACTCACATAGTGACCCATAGACTCACATAGAGACTCAAATACTCACATAGAGACCCATAGTCTCACATAGAGACCCATAGACTCACATGGAGACACATAGACTCACATAGAGACCCATAGTCTCACATAGAGACCCATAGACTCACAAAGAGACCCATAGACTCACATAGAGACCCATAGACTCACATAGAGACCCATAGACTCACATAGACTCACATAGGTACCCATAAACTCACACAGGGACCCATAGACTCACATAGAGCCCCATAAACTCACACAGGGACCCATAGACTCACATAGAGACCCATAGACTCACACAGGGACCCATAGACTCACATAGAGACCCATAGACTGACATAGGGACCCATAGACTCACATAGAGACCCATAGACTCACATAGAGACCCATAGACTCACATAGAGACCCATAGACTCACATGGAGACACATAGACTCACATAGAGACCCATAGTCTCACATAGAGACCCATAGACTCACAAAGAGACCCATAGACTCACATAGAGACCCATAGACTCACATAGAGACCCATAGACTCACATAGACTCACATAGGTACCCATAAACTCACACAGGGACCCATAGACTCACATAGAAACCCATAAACTCACACAGGGACCCATAGACTCACATAGAGACCCATAGACTCACACAGGGACCCATAGACTCACATAGAGACCCATAGACTGACATAGGGACCCATAGACTCACATAGAGACCCATAGACTCACATAGAGACCCATAGACTCACATAGAGACCCATAGACTCACATAGAGACACATAGACTCACATAGAGACCCATAGACTCACATAGAGACCCATAGACTCACATAGGGACCCATAGACTCACATAAAGACCCATAGACTCACATAGAGACTCAAATGCTCACATAGAGACCCATAGACTCACATGGGGACCCATAGACTCACATAGGGACCCATAGATTCACATAGAGACCCATAGACTCAGATAGAGACCCATAGACTCACATAGAGACCCATAGACTCACATAAAGACCCATAGACTCACATAGAGACTCAAATACTCACATAGAGACCCATAGACTCACATAGAGACCCATAGACTCACATAGAGACCCATAGACTCAGATAGAGACCCATTTACTCACATAGAGACCCATAGACTCACATAGAGTCACATAGACTCACATAGAGACCCATAGACTCAGATAGAGACCCATAGACTCACATAGAGACCCATAGACTCACATAAAGACCCATAGACTCACATAGAGACTCAAATACTCACATAGAGACCCATAGACTCACATAGAGACCCATAGACTCACATAGAACCCCATAGACTCAGATAGAGACCCATAGACTCACATAGAGACCCATAGACTCACATAGAGACACATAGACTCACATAGTGACCCATAGACTCACACAGAGACCCACAGACTCACACAGAGACCAATAGACTCACATAGAGACCCATAAATGTACGGAGACCCTGCAGACATTAGATTGAGATCCATAGTGTCACAGGGACTGAGTTGTAACAATGCCGGGTGCTCAAGTGTAAGGTAGCTGAAGGTCTCATCCCAGCTACTCATGACTCGCATCGAGACCCATAGATTTACAGAGACCCATAGACATTACAAAGAGATCCCTAGCCTCACAGACACTGAGTTATGATTAAACCGGCTTCTTAAGTGTAGCAAGTTTACGGTCTCGGCCAGGTCACCAAATGACCGCACACAAAAGAAATCCTATTAAATTTGCTTCTGCACATAATTTGGCTAAGATTCCAGCTCTGATAATTTAACATTTTTCAGTTTGACCGTCATGCAACTAATATTAGTCTCATACAACAGAGCGACGTGTCAACTGGAGGTCACTTGAACGGGAGCTCTGTAGTAGCTCTACGATATCCGCCTCCGTTGGTCGCTCTCCATCACGGATGGTTGAGAGACCTCTGAAAGGATGACGCATCTCACGTCACGATGCTTGTGGCACGATGGGAATGATATTGAGGATTGATTTAAGGGGAAAAAAAACTCGGAATATATTTGTGGTCCGTCTCTTCTTATTGTTGAGAATTCTGCACTAACTCTCCCGGCAGGTTGGCAGCCACACACTACAGTGTCAACACTTGTGCATCACAGCAAACAGGGTCTGGGTTCGATTTCTGATTTTGGCGACTTTCTGTGTGCAGTTTATATGTTTGTACAGTTTCCTCTGGTTTCTCTGATTTCATCCCATAGTAAGCACTGGCGGAGCCAGTGGGGGGGGGGGGGGGGGGGGGGGGGGTGGCACGTGCCCAGCCAATGATCCGATCGAAATCCCTTAATTTCGATCGGATCATTGGGGTTTATTGGTAATAAATCGGCATTTTGCAACCCCCATATTATTACTACGTGCCAGGGACTCTATGAGATGATAGGACAATAGTCTGAGTCCACAATTGGCAATAAGTAACGGCAAAGCGGTTATAAGCGACTCAGAATTGTGCGCGGTTGCGTATATGCAGGACACGACTTCGCTGAAGGCATCAACACCTTCAGCGAGCGCAATGCTGATCACAAAACGGGGTTCAAATTCACCCCTCGATCACCGCACACGCGTCGAATAAAGAGCAAGGGACAATTTTTAATTGCTGGAGGGGTTGCCCCCACCTTCCTGAAAAGCCTGGCTCTGCCATTGATAGTATGTAAATAAATATTAGCATAAAATGTAACTGGTATTGGTCAAACATCCCAATGCTGTAAAACAATTATCTATAAATTGCTCAATTGGGATCACACACACGGAGCGGCAACATCATCGCACCTCTACCACAAAAACTAGGCAGGACCCTTCTGTGCCATGGTGGGAAAATGTTAACGACCACGCTTGGTACACAGGAGGTCGTGGGTTCGATCCCGACCCTGACGCCTGCTGCTGTATATTTGGAGTTTGCGTGTCTCTCTCTCCGTGGTCACGTGGATTTTTCTCCGGGTCCTCCCTCCACATTGAGAATCAATGTCACACGTGTCAGAATTTGTTTTCCCATTTTTTCTGGCAACAACAACAGGTGTTAAGATCATTGGTGAAGCCATGTTTCTCGCGAAAGTGCGGAGTTGGCCTGATAACTTTAATCTAAATTGTCTTATGGTTGATCATTGTTTTTTTACCCTTTTATCTGGCAACAAAACTGACACCTTTTTATGACAAGGAGTCATGTTTGCGTTGACCACAATACCTGCAGTCAAAACGCAAACAAAAAACACACTCTGATAATATATGCATTAAATTTCGATTTAAAGCTTTCGTGACTGCAATGATTCATCTTCTTTGGTTCTTTCGGTAAAGTCACGTAGAATGAGAATAAAATAATAAATTGATAAAATAAAATAACACAATAATATTCTCACGACGTTTCGGCCACAACACAAGCGGCCTTCATCAGGTGAACGGACGAGACTGTCTGGTAGGACAGCGCTGGAGTGAAAGAGCCACGTTCAGATCACGACCTTTAAGCTGTGTGAGAGGAAACAAAGCGCCTTGACAAAGGAATTAGCATATAATTTAGCATTGAAAAGGCTGAGTGATTAGCTTGTGACTGGTCACAGAAATAGCTATGTTAAAAGTTAAATCATACACATCCGCAGAGGCACCCCTTGACAAAGGAATTAGCATAGAATTTAGCATTGAAATAGCTAAGTTAAAGCATACACATCCGCAGAGGCACCCCTTGACAAAGGAATTAGCATAGAATTTAGCATTGAAATAGCTGAGTGATTAGCTTGTAACTGGTCACAGAAATAGCTACGTTAAAGTCAGAGCATACACATTCACCGAGGCACTTAGTACAAATCAAACAGGAGAATTTAGCATTGAAATAACTAGGCGAATTTAGCATTGAAATAACTGAGTGATTAGCTAGTGACTGGTCACAGAAATGACTATGTTGAAGTCAAGGCCTACACATCTGAGCTATTCACAGTACTATATAGTGAACCAATAAAAAACTAAAATATAAATTACCTTAATGTTATCAATAAACTCTATATTCTCCAATCAGCTAAGCTACCAACAATAAGTCGTTATATATCACAATGCTATATGGCGAAAAAATGGGTGGATTCTTACCCTCAACTTTAGCAACACGGATAGCTACCGGCCCCGTTCAGACGGACGAGTTCATCCATGGTCGGAACAGAGGAGGGGGAGAGAGACAGCTGCGAGGCGCTATTATACTCCATGTTGTAAACCATACCATTAACCGTGGTGTGAGAGGTATTAAGAGTCAATGCTGGCGAAAGAGCTGCGGTCTGAAGGTCATCGTAAAATACAATTAATTAAGAACAGAAATGATTTAAAACATCTTTCCAATGGTTACTAAGCCAGAATCCATCTTCTCGGTTGAAATTGTCTCTGTGCTTGTATATGTGAATGGCCTCATGAACGAATCTCTCATGGTAGCCGGTTGGTTTGCAAAGAACCTCCGTCTTGGAGAAGTCAATGTCATGTGAGCCCACTGAATTATAACAGTGATCTGCCACGGCAGAGGAGTTCGTCCTACCGTGTTTCAAGTCTGCTTTATGTTCGCGGATGCGGTCCGAGATATGTCGTTTGGTTTCTCCAATGTAGCTACTACCACAGAGGCACTTTAGTTTGTAAACGCCCGGGTACTGTATGTCTGGAACAGCATCTTTTACAGATGGAACTAAATCACGGATTTTATGTACTGTGTTGAATCGGACCTGGATCTTGTGTTTATTCAGGATTTTGGAGATCTTTTTAGTGACCCCTGCAATGTAGGGTTAGGTGATGGTTTTGAGTGGCTCCACAAGAGGATCCTTCTTCATGACTGGAGTAATGGCTTTGCGGATTGTGTAGTCGGAGTAACCATTAGCCCTGAGAGCCTGGTGTACGTGCTTGAGTTCACTGGTAATGTGTTCCTGGTCGGATATGCATTGGGCTCTATGATACAGAGTCTTGATGAGAGAATTCTTCTGGGATGGATGGTGGTGGGAATCCGGTTTCTAGTAAGCATCTGTATGGGTAGCTTTCCTGTAGACAGAGTGGCTCATTGAACCATCATGTCTCCTTTTAATTAAGACATCCAAAAAAGGTCGCTTGCCATCTTTTTCGACCTCCATGGTAAATCTGATGGCTGGGTGTATGGAATTGATGTGGTCGAAGAATATATGCATTGTCCTAGAAACCGATTGGTCCACACCAATGTTTGCATTCTGACCACAAGCATTGTGGTTAATGCAGTGACATGATTAAAAAAAACCTCTTCTCATATTTTGGTACTGCCAAACGATGTCCCATGAAATGGCACACGTTTAGAGTATTTTTGCTACTGCTTTAAATCTCCGCGTGATGATAAGCCACTGTTGCGCTATCATTTGTGTCCAGGTTGCCTCTGAAAAATAGCTACGTGGTTCAGTGGGGCCTCAACTGGTAAAATGCAATTATTTTACAGTTACGTTTTAAAACACGGTTATCTTTCCTGTGTAAACCAGCGTCACTGACAGTCACACCACTAACAACAACAACAATAATAATAATCGCGCGCCAGGTTTCGTGCGGCCGAGAGGCGTGGGCGACATCCGCGACCTCAACACGAACTCGGAGAAGTGGCCGGCGGTGAAGGCGGCGCTGGTGGCGGGGCTCTACCCCAACGTGATCCACGTGGATCGCACCACTCAAACGCTCACCACGAGGCTGGAGCGTAAGGTGCACCTCCACCCTTCCTCCTGCGTGCTCGACCAGTGCGTCTTCAATAAGGTACCACCGTGCGTGCACGTGTCCGTATGTGCGCGTGTGTGTGCGTGTGCGTGCGTGCGTGTGTCTGTGATGATTGCTTGTGTTGCAGTCGAAACGTCGTGAGAATTTTATTGTTTTACATTTTTATTATTTTATCGTTTCCCTGCTACGCGGTGGTGATTTTACCGAAAGAACCAAGAATATGAATCGCCGCAGTCGCGAAAGCTTTAAATCAAAATGAAACTGAAACAGTCGCCGTAAGCGGGGGTATCATCATTCAGTCAAATGGCATGCAAAGTTGACGAGAGCCAATTGGAAGCATCGTTTGAAGTTGTTGCAAGGGATGCTGCTTCACAAAGGTCAACAGGCGGATGAGACGGTATTGGAGTAACCGATGAGACGTCGCCGTTCGCGAACACACGACGTCTTGAACATCGGCCGTCTCTGCTTTCCCACCCCCCATGCCCGCTCTCACCTCCCCGTGTCTCCCTTATCGTGCGCGGTCCTCCCCCCCTCGCAGCAGGAGGGCGTTCCACAGGGGGTGGCGGCGCTTCCCACCGACTGGCTCGTGTTCGGCGAGATGACGCGAGTGCACCGCCTGCCAATCGCTCGCTGCGTCACGGCCGTGAGCCCCGTGGCGGTGGCTCTGTTCGCCGGGGCCCCCCCCTCGCCTCGCCGCCTCCGCCCTCCGGGGACCGTCACCGACGCACGGCGCGAACGCCGCGGCCGGTGCCGCCGGCGACGGCGACGGCGACGGCGACGACGCCGACGACGCGGCCGGCGCTTCTGCGGCCGCCGCCGCCGCCGCTACCAACGATGCCGGCCGCCAAATGCCACCACCATCGATAGACACCGCCACCGATCGCCACTGCCAACAACAGCCACCGCCGCTCCACCTTCACCGTAAACACTTTGCACCGCCAGACTAAGGCAGATATACCCCGTATAGCCTCAAGATACCTTTGGGGCAAGTGTTGTTAGCAAGTGGCGATGAAGGCCGCCAGGGTGGGTGGCCAGCGCCACGTGAGGCCACCTTTCTGTCCCCAGTGGTGATGTTTGCACACTGCGCCTGGTGCTCCTTTGAGGCTGAGTCGACCTAGGGTCGACATAGGGGAGGCCCAGGAGCGGTTCAGATAATCGTCACCGGTGGCCGTGAGCCAGAATCGAACTCGGGTCGCCGGGTTTTGCAGTGCAGCCTGCTGACCGCTACACTGCCGCTCCTCGCTAATACCACCTAAGACAAACATCTCCTGTGTTCTACAGAAACTTTTTAATAGTAGGGTTTTTCCCCTTTTTTTCTGGCAAAAAAACTGAAACCTTTTTACAAGGATGCATGTTACTGCATTAACCGCAATACCTGCAGTCGAAATGCAAACAAAAAAACTACTATGATAATATGATGCATTGTCCTTGAAACTGATTGGTCCACACCAAGGGACGGCTTTCTTTTGAGCCTCGACCCAATTGGTGCTCGACCAGATGACGCCACAAGGCGTTCAGCTCAAAGACAATGCACTATCAAATTAATGAGGGCTCGGGGTGAGCATCTACATCATTAGACCTCCTTTGTCAGTACCAAAATATTATAATAGGGTTTTTACCCTGTTTTCTGGCAGCAAAACTGAAACCTTTTTTGCCAGAAAAAAGGGGAAAAACCCTATTATTACATTTTGGTACTGGCAAAGGAGGTATAGTGATGTAGAAACTTTTTAATCAACATTTTTTTTTTACGTTACTTTACCGAAAGAACCAAGAATATGAATCTCTGCGAGTCACGAAAGTTTCAAGTCAAAAATTCTAAGAGAAACTATTGTGGAGAGTGCTCTCAGCGATCGTCGATTGTGGTTGACGTGGCTCAAGAAGGGGAGGTGTGGGCCACCACCGCACCCCAAGGATGTTTGCACGCGGGACAAGGCGCTCATTTCAGGCTGAGTCGACCCAACGGGAGTCCGGGGGATTGGTTCAGAATATTCATCACCGATGTTTAGCAGCCAAATGCTCGACACAAATCTTTGTGACAGGGCTATCCTGTTTGATGTTGCTACAGACGAGGGTCAAGTTGTTTTGAAATGTTACCAGCCAGAAAGAACCCCCACGTGACTTTACCGAAAGAACCAAGAATATGAATCCCTGCAGTCACGAAAGCTTTAAATCAAAATTTATTTGGCTGCTGTAAATGTCCACATGTCAAGCCACTGTTGAGCTATCATTTGTGGCCAGGTTGCATCTGAAAAAGAGCTACACAGCTCAGTGGGACCTTAATACCGGCTAAAATAAAAGTAGTGTATAGGTATGTTGAACTTATTTCGCACTGTACCTAGCGTAGCCAACCGTGCTTAATCGGAGGTGCGGAGGAACGGCAATAAACTAAAACACAAAAAGCAGTTCGAAAGAAATGAGTTTTAAATTTATAGTGTTTACATCGATGATGCCGATGAATTTGGCTCGTGTGCAGGTCACGGCTCGGTGTTTATGAGCCGGTGGTCTCGGGCCGGTGGTCACGGCTCAGTGGTCACGGGCCAGTGGTCACGGCTGCTACGGTGACCGCGTCTTGCGTGAACTTGTGCGTGTGCGTGTGCAGTGGAGGGGATTCCTCCCGATAGCGGCGACAACGAGATTGAGGAGGAGGGGGAGGAGGAGGAGGAGGTGAACACGGCCGTTCTGCATCTAGACGAGTGGATCAACTTCAAGTTGGACCCCGAGGTGAGTGACGCCGCCACCTGCCACCATCGTCGTCGTCGTCGTCATCAGCCATGGTCGTATCCACTGCTGGATGGTGAATGTGTAGAGTTGGCTTTTGTCACTGCTGGATGAAAGCCTCCCCATGCCGCCACCGCCGCCGCCACCACCACCTCTCTCAATCGTGCAGTGCAACAAGAACAACAACAACCCGTTCCGCAGCTGGACGCAAACTCTCATCGCTCCGTCTGCGCGGTGGACGTGCTCTCGGACACGTCCGCGTCCCTTGGCTCCCGCTCCGTTATCATTCCTGACCGTTCATCTTCGCTTCTTAACCGTGGCAACGCTCCTGCCCCAAGCCCTCCCTCTGCTTTCTGAACAGTTTAGTATGATGTCATGAACCTCACAATAATGGTTTTTGTTTGGGGTAAGATTGTGTTCAATATCAATGCGCCGTTAACCCACCACCACCACCCGACAGCCAATTTTAGTGAGGTTTGTCACGTCGAACAATACGTGCAAATTAGGTACGACTTCATCCCACCGGTGTGTCGGAGAGTGAATCCACAACATTCACAATTTGACTACTGTGACGACATTTTGCCAGAAAGTGGCCCAAAGGTGTAACTGATTGGCACGTTTACGTGACACGTGACACATCTTCCTAATTGGCCTCGTCGGGTGGTGCTGGGTTAACGACACATTTATATTTACGCGATCTAACCCATAAAAAAACCTTTCATCTATAATATTGGTCGCGAAAGCACGATTACTACTACTGCTGCTGCTGCGTGTGAAACTGTCATTAACCTTTTGATTTAAAGCTTTCGTGACTGCAGTAATTCATATTCTTAGCTCTTTCGGTAAAGTCACGTTGAAGGGAAACAATAAAATATATATAAAACAATAAAAATTCTCACGACGTTTCGACCATAACACAAACGGTCGTCATCAGGTGTGTTGGTCTGCATTAATTTATTTGTTTTGAAACGGTGTATTTATTTATAAAAACACGTCAGCCCCACGCGCAGCGATTCGGCAGTTTATTTAGAAGGACTAGTCCATCTATGTTCAAGGGGGGTACCTCAGTGTTTAGTCCTTGATGAACCAAGTCTTCAATGATTGCGATTACCTGACACCATCGCAATCATTGAAGACTTGGTTCATCAAGGACTAAACACTGAGGTACCCCCCCTGAACATAGATGGACTAGTCCTTCTAAATAAACTGCCAAATCGCCGCACGTGGCGCTGACGTGTTTTTATAAATAAATACACCGTGTTAAAATAAATAAATTAATGCAAACCGACACACCTGATGACGACCGTTTGTGTTATGGTCGAAACGTAGTGAGAATTTTTATTGTCTTATATATATTTTATTATTTTATTGTTTCCCTTCAACGTGGTGACTTTACCGAAAGAGCTAAGAAAAATATGTCATTAGCCCGTGCGTGTTTTCTCGTGCACGTGTGCGTCGCTCTGTCTCACGGTGCAAATTCCCAGCACGAGTGAGGCTGTGAACACGCAAAATACCCGACAAGAAGCCAACAGTCGGATGAGGCTGTCGCGTTGTTCTTAAGAGCCGACTGCGTGGAGCGCTTCGCCGAGATGGCTGAGATCCTGGGTTTCACGACCCGATTTTTTTGACCGCCTGCGATTACACCGCGGTGCGCACAGCTGTGGCGACTTGATGGTTTCGGCCCCGGCTACCGATGGCCGTACAAACACACCCCATCACATTTACCCTGGTGCGCGTTTTGTTTGTATGTAATTTCATCCCGGCTTAATTACAACCGACCTCTGTTGCTAGTCTGTGGGTCTCCGTGTGAAGGTGCGTGTGTCTCTGTGGGGCCCAACGGTTACGAGATGTTAACTACGTCGCCTGGTATGAAGGGAGCGCGTGGGTTCAATCCCGACCCTGACACCTGCTCTATGTTTGCAGTTTGCGTGTTTCCCCCCTTGGTCGTGTGGATTTTTCCCTGGGATCTCCGGTTTTTCCCTCCGCGTTTAGAATGAGCACGCATGCCGAGTATTTGGCCGCTATTAGTGTCCACGTGATAAGCCGCTTTGTTGAGATATTATTTGTGGCCAGGTTCTGAAAAATATCTCTCTAGCTCAGTGGGCCTTACCCGGTGAAATAGAAAGTTTAGTTTTAGTTTGCAGAAGAGTGGACGAGGCTTTCCTGGGGAAACAAGGATCTACGTATCACTACAAATGTAAATTTTTATTTAAAGCTTTCGTGACTGCAGGGATTCATATTCTTGGTTCTTTCGGTAAAGTCACCATGTAGAAGGCAACCAATAAAATAATAAAAATATAAAACAAAATTCTCACGACGTTTCGACTGCAACACAAGCAATCATCATCAGGTGTGAAAACCACAGCAAGAAAATTAAAAAAAAATTATTGCTGTGGTTTTCACACATGATGATGATTGCTTCTGTTGCAGTTGAAACGTCGTGAGAATTTTATTGCTTCATTTTTTTATTATTTTATTGTTTCCCTTCTATGTGACTTTACCGAAAGAACCAAGAATATAATACAAATGTACTTATAGTAATTTACTTGTTTATCCAGGAGCTGTAGGACTCTTTTTCGGGAGGGTCCTGTAATTGAGTTTTTATTTCAGGATATTTTTTTAGCAAATCGGCGATGAGTCGTGTTTATTATTCACGTGTGAGAGGAAACGGGAGCACCCGAAGAAAACCCACGCCTTGCGCGAGGGGGCAACGCTCTATCCCCGCACAGATGGAAACAGATGGAGATCAGTCCACTTTGCTCTACTGCCTTGTGGCGTACCAGGGGTACGGCTCCCCCTCGACTCTTGCGGCCGGGGAGTTTTAGAACATTGGCGCCGCAATCAACTTCTTTCTTTAAAACTGCTTTTTGTTTTGAGTTTTTTCCCTTTCCTTCACCCTTCACCTCCAATTAGCAAGGTTGGCTACGTACAGTGCGAAAGAAGTTCAACATGCACACATAAAGGGACTCCTCTGCTTACGAATGTTCGACTTACGAACAAACCCGGTCCGTATGTCCAGTTGCCTATTCGGACCGAGAGTCGCGAGCTCAACTGCTGTGCAATAGACGGCGGTGGTGGCTTCTGCATCTGTAGAACGCGAAGAGCCCAGTGGCACCCACATCTGACGGGAGGTTACACAACTTTTAAAGCCATTCCCGGTGCTCAGCGCGCAGTGCCGTACGACGCCGTTAGGAATCGACAGGGGTACAGTTGGCACTTACGGACAAATCGACTTTTACGAACAGACCCCCGGAGCCTATAACTCGTCCCCTAGTAGAGGAGTCACCGCCCACAACCCTCGCCGCTGCGCCGCCGCCTCCAAAACGCCGGGCGATCGATCCTCGTTCACGCCCTCCGCTCCGCTCCCCTCCCCCCCCGCCAGGCGGCGAACCTGCTGCTGGCTGCGGCAGAAGTGGCGCGCGCTGTTCGCGCGCCGCATGCGGGAGCCGTCGCGCGCCCCGTCGCAGGCGGACGAGGCGACGGTGAGCGCCTGTCGTCGCGGCGCTGGCCCGCGAGGACGAGGCCCTCGGCCTGCGGCAGGCCCGCCGGCATCGGCCAAGCGGCCGACGATGCCGATCGCTCCCGCGGCGAGGTTTTTCGCCCCCGGCGGCGGCCGCGGCGGCGCGGCGGCGGCTTCGTGGATGGCCGATCGTTGCCGGATGAGTGGCGGTGGTGGTGGTGGTGGTGGAGCCGGTGGTGGTGGAGCCGGTGGTGGTGGTGGTGGTGGAGGTGGGGCCGAGACAAACCGATGAGTTGCTTGTGACCAAGATGTGAGGCCATGATCGTTTTCATGTTATTTATCGGGCAGGGAGGTCGGTGGCAGTTGTGTAGATAGCAACGATCTGTGGGTCTCTGTGTGAATGTAGAGGTCTGTAGGTCTCTAGGTGAGTGTAAATAGACCTCTATATACATCATTGGCTTAGATCGTCAATTCGCTATACTTGCAACGTGGATGTGAGAGGTCGTGTCACGTCCGTGGCTTGACAGGAGAAATAAAACACGATTACATATCACTCTGAAACCAGTTCAACACGTAGTCAGTAGGCGTTCAGCAACCAATTATTATCCGTAATGATGATTTTAAGGTTAAATCGCATCAATATAAATGTGCCGTTAAATCCGCCACATCCCGACACAGCCAATTAGTATGGTTATTCATGTAAACAAAGCGTGCCAATTCGTTACTGGTACTGCACGCCGGTGGTGTGTTGGAGAGTAAACCCACTAACAACATTTACAATCGTTACTGGTACTGCACTCCGGTGGTGTGTTGGAGAGTAAACCCACCCACTACAACATTTACAATTCGTTATTGGTACTGCACACCGGTGGTGTGTTGGAGAGTAAACCCACTACAACATTTACAATTCGTTACTGGTACATCACACCGGTGGTGTGTTGGAGAGTAAACCCACTACAACATTTACAATTCGTTACTAGTACATCACACCACGGGTGGTGTGTTGGAGAGTAAACCCACTACAACATTTACAATTAGTTACTGGTACTGCACTTCGGTGGTGTGTTGGAGAGTAAACCCACTACAACATTTACAATTCGTTACTGGTACTGCACGCCGGTGGTGTGTTGGAGAGTAAACCCACTACAACATTTACAATTCGTTACTGGTACTGCACTCCGGTGGTGTGTTGGAGAGTAAACCCACTACAACATTTACAATTCGTTACTAGTACTGCACTATGGTGGTGTGTTGGAGAGTAAACCCACTACAACATTTACAATTCGTTACTGGTACTGCACACCGGTGGTGTGTTGGAGAGTAAACCCACTACAACATTTACAATTAGTTACTGGTACTGCACGCCGGTGGTGTGTTGGAGAGTAAACCCACTACAACATTTACAATTCGTTACTGGTACATCACACCGGTGGTGTGTTGGAGAGTAAACCCACTACAACATTTACAATTCGTTACTAGTACATCACACCACGGGTGGTGTGTTGGAGAGTAAACCCACTACAACATTTACAATTAGTTACTGGTACTGCACTTCGGTGGTGTGTTGGAGAGTAAACCCACTACAACATTTACAATTCGTTACTGGTACTGCACGCCGGTGGTGTGTTGGAGAGTAAACCCACTACAACATTTACAATTCGTTACTGGTACTGCACTCCGGTGGTGTGTTGGAGAGTAAACCCACTACAACATTTACAATTCGTTACTAGTACTGCACTATGGTGGTGTGTTGGAGAGTAAACCCACTACAACATTTACAATTCGTTACTGGTACATCACACCGGTGGTGGTGTGCAGTTCGGGGCTTTGTGTGCGTGTGTGTAAGTTTGTCCATGCGCGGAGATGAGCCGCGTCAGCTCCTCGCACTTCAAACCCTCTCTTGAGTCCTCTGCCCAGCGGTGGGAAATCACGGCCGCCTTACATCTTGTCGGATCCATCAACTTTCTTCCTCCCTGCCTGGTGCCTTCCGATTCTTCATGCAGCAGACTTCACTCAGTGCCTCTTTCCCCAGCATCCCCCAAACCCTTCGAGAATTTTGAAAAACTTTGAAATTTTATTTCGAACTGTTTGTCGTGTTTAGTTTGCTTGTCCTTTCCCCGCACTTACGATTTGCGTGGTTTGGCTGCGAACGGTTGCGAAATAAATTTTGATTTAAAGCTTTCGTGACTGCAGGGATACATATTCTTGGTTCTTTCGGTAAAGTCACCACCACGTAGAAGGGAAACAATAAAATAATACAAATATAAAACAATACAATTAAATCACGACGTTTCGACTGCAACACAAGCATGATGATGATTGATGATGATTGATGATGATTGCTTGTGTTGCGGTGCGAAAGAAGCTCAGCGTGCACACAGCTTCCTTTCGTCCAGCTGTCACCTCTGAGAATGTGCCCAATGCACGTGCGTAGCCCTTCCTGGATCGTCGGCGTCACACACACACACACAAAGCGTCGCCTGTTTCATCGCACAGCGCATCGTGACACAGCGTCGTCATGTGCAGCAGCATCAACAGCAACCCTTCTAGAACTTCCTATCACGTGGTTTGTGTCCATACCACGTGTTTAGCCCCTCTTCTGTATTGTCGTCGTCACACGCACGGCATCACGGCACGCGGCAACATCACCAGATCGCGTAACTATAAATGCGTGTTGTTACACCCACCACCACCACCACCACCCGACACAGCCAATTAGTAAGGTTTGTGACGTAAACAGAACGTAGATTTAAAACTTTCGTGACTGCTAGGATCCATACTCTTTGGTTCTATTGGGTAAAGTCACGTAGGTATAAAAAATAAAATAACAAAAATCATGACGAGACTGTCCTCCAGACAGTCTCGTCCCTTCACCTGATGAAGGCCGCTTGTGTTGTGGCCAAAACGTCGTGATTTTTGTTATTTTATTTTTTTTCCTACGTGACTTTACCCAATAGAACCAAAGAGTATGTAAACAGAACGTGCCAATTCGTCACCAGCACAGTCTCACACCGGGCGTGTGCCGGAGAGCAAAGGCCACGACATTTACAATCCGACCGCGACGTTTCGCCGGCAATTGCAACCGGCGTCATTGGGCGACGGCCAGATTCGCGGAGGAAACTTTTTCCAGGACTTCCTCCACGCAGCGCCGCACCGCTGAGAACGTGCCCCAATCCACGTCCTCGCCCTCGCCCAGATCGGCTGCTGCTGCTGCTGGGTGCTACGCCCCACGAACGAACCCCTTCGGCCGACGCGAACCCCCTCGCGGTGTGCCGTTCACTCGTTTGCCTGCCCGTCCGCTCTCGCCGGTTTCGCCGCCCGCCGGCTGAAGCCTCCGTCTCCGCATGCGCCACTTCGTCGTGAAGAGCGGCAACGTGCGCAGCCTGGAGCTGTCGCAGCAGAGGGTCGTCTGGCCGACGAAACTGAACGGCGCGTTCCCGTCGTGCCCCGTCGTCCACCTCGTCTTCTCCGTGCGGGGCTCCGGACGCTTCCAGGTTTGGCAGGGGTGGTGGTGGTGATGGTGGTGGGGGGGGTGGGTGGGTGGGTGGAGGGGCGGCGGAGGTGGATCGTAACGACCCGGACCAAACTGGACATATCTGTCGAACGGATCTTCGTAGATCTCATCGGAATCCTCCCGCAATTTAAATAAAGATTCTGGATTGTGAATTGTTCAGTACGTTTGGTGTTGTTGGCGCTGTTGTCGCAGTGCAGGGCCATCACGAACGAAGGCAACATGTTAACTACCTCGCCTGCTACGCGTGAGGTCGTGGGTTCGATCCCGACCCTGACGCCTGCTGCTGCTGCTGTTTATTTGGAGTCTGTGTCTCTCTCATCATCATGGTGGCTAGGAGATGTCAACTTCCTCGCCTTGTCTACAGGAGGTCGTGGGTTCGATCCCGACATTGACGCCTGCTGCTGCTGCTGTATATTTGGGGTTTTCGTGTCTCTCATCATCATGGTGGCTAGGAGATGTTAACTACCTTGCCTGCTACGCGGGAGGTCGTGGGTTCGATCCCGACCGTGACGCCTGCTGCTGCTGCTGTATATTTGGAGTTTGCGTGTCTCTTTTATCTCTTCCCGCGATCGTGTGGATTACTCTCCCGGGTCCTCTGGTTTTTCCCTTCCACGTTTAGAAAAGCTTAGAGCATTTGGCTGCTGCAAATTCCCACACGACGAGTCGTTTCGTTGAGCGCTAACTCGTTGGCCGGGTCGCTTTCTGAAAAAGCGCCGTGTAGCTCAGCGGGCCTCTAAACCTGGTAAGTAAAAAAAAAAAATCCGTTAAAAACCACAAAAAACACGACGCGCCGTAGGGCCGACGCACGACGAGCCGAGCGGCCTCGGGTTGGGGCGTGACGGCGGCCGTGTTGCCAGGGCTACGCACGGATGGTGTCGGAGATCGGCAAGGAGCGGTGCCGGAGACCGGGGGCTCCCCCGCGCTGGGCGGAGCGTTTCGGGTGCTGTGGCTGTACCTGGGCAGGATCCCCTTCCAGCAGGTGCAGCACCCTGCTCAACCCGTGGTGTAACAACAACAAGAGGGTGCAGATGAGCCGTGATGGGCAGGTGAGCGCCCCCCCCCTCTCCCTTCCCCCATGTAGTTCGAGAAGCTTTCCACGGCTGTACCGGAGGAATTTAAACCGGCTCAGACCTCCTGTAAATTACGTGACGTGTGTGGTCCCTCCCCCACCCCTGCCCCCTCTCTCTGAAGCCATTCCACAACACACAGAGCTCTTTGCAGCGCACGTCTGGCTCATTCGTTCTCTGTCTTCCCTCCACTCTCATCATCGTCATCACCCTCTCGTCATTCCTTCTCCCCCTCCTCTCTCCCTGCCTTTCTCCCTCATCTCTTCCTGCTGTCCGTCTTGAGCCGTGCCCCTCCTCTTGGCGACCTCCGTCCTGACATCGCTTCCCTTTTCGCGCACCGCTTGATCCTTGACTGTACACCCCGCACATGCTATCCTTGACTCTGCATCCCTTCCCGGTAGTGTGCCCTGGGTCAAATCCATCCCGAACGGAAACATCTATACGGGCTAAAAAAAATAGGTATTTGGGGCGGCAAATGTCACTCGGATCGCCGGCGCAGACATTTGAGAAAATTACGGCCGTCCCAAAAATTGTCGCCTCTGGGCGAGCGCTAATAATTGCATTCCCGCAGAGTGTCGGGGTACAAGTTTCTCCGTGCACGGGTCTCCCAGGGGAATATGGCAGCAGCGAACAATGATTGCTGGTGCGCTGATGATTCCTCATGCCGACGAAACCGGCCTACTGTTGCGTCCTTGTTTCACTGCCGTCTGTCAGGACGGCCACATTTTCTCAGCTCTCTTTGAGTCGGTGGTTTTAAACGGAAAGTTGGCACACGTTCAGTTACCACCTTTGTGTGGTTACATCTGCGCATGACGGTGGTGGTTGTGATGGCGGTGCCCGTGATACAGTCGGTGGTGGCACGTGTGGGGAGCGATACTGTAGCGGTTAGCTATACGGGGGGTGTGGGTCTTTGTTTTCTTTGTTGGTGGCACGTGTGTGACGGTGATGATGGGTAGCGGTGCTTGTGACGGTAGTTGCGGTGCGTGCGGTCGTGGGTTTATTTCTGTGATTGCGATGATGTCGTGGGAGGGCACGTGGCGGTGGCGACGTTGGCGTGACGTGGCGTCATTGCTGCGGCCGACTATTTACGACTCTGGGAATGTCCATCACAGGAGCTTGAGACTCGGGTTGGAGAACAGCTGCTCAAATTGTGGGACAGATGGCCCCGTGTCGCCGGTGATGGTGGTGGCGGCGGCGGCGATGGCGGCGGTGTCGTGGGTGCCACTGGCGCCGCTGGCAGCGCTGACGACAACACGGCGGAGCTAATTGGAAGCAGAGCAACACGCACCCCGGCGGATGGGACCCCTCCTCTCCTCGAGGGCTGTGGTAATTTTTGTATTTTTATTCCCGTGAAAATAAGCAGCGATGGAAACCGATAAAATGCCCCGTTTTTAATTCCCTTTCCGAGTTGTGGCACGTGGCGGGGAGAGACACCGGAGAACCCGGAGACAACCCATTCGTACGAGAGAGTCACTCTCACAGATGTCAGCGGCAAGATTTGTGTGTGTTTTTTTAAATGCACCGCTGTCCTGTCACCTCCCGAATGCTTCTCAGGCACAAGCCCACAGCACCACCTCCTCCTGGCATCCCCCGGTATTAACCAAGACCTGAAACCTGCCTCGCTTTGGAGAATCGCACGCCTAAAATGACCTTATGTAAACATCCAAACTACGAGTGGCATTGTGAACGCTCCCTCGTGTTCATTCGCACGTTCTGCTCACTTGAAACAATCCGCGCTGGGCTGCACGCGGGTCCCTGCGCCGTGTTCACGGGCTGTGCCCGCCGTGGGTCTGCCCGCACGGCGATGCCCGACGTTTCGGAGCTCCCCCCGGCGGTGCGTAAATTTTGCACCGTACGTACGTTGGACTCCTTTCCGCACCGCACATAGCCAACCGTTGCCAATCGGACGCGAGGAGATTTCGTTCGCTGTGTTTTATTTTCTTTGGTTCTTTCGGTAAAGTCACCACCACGTAGAATGAGAATAAAATAATAAATTGATAAAATAAAATAACACAATAATATTCTCGTGACGTTTCGGCCACAACACAAGCGGCCTTCATCAGGTGAAGGGGACGAGACTGTCTGGTAGGACAGCGCTGAATCCTTGCAGTCACGAAAGCTTTTAATCGAAAAATGTGTTTTATTTGTTTTTTTTTTCCCAGCGAAGGCCGCAGCAAGTCAGTCCCCTCTGCAGATGCCGAGGTGCTAACCGGCGGCCCCGCCAAACGGACGCGCCGCTCTCGCCGTGTGCTCGCGTGGGCGAGTCCTGCGGCACGGGGGGGGCAGCTGCTCTGAACCCGGCGGGCCCGAGTTCGATTCCTGCTCATGGCCAACAAGCAGCAAGCGATGATTTACCCGGACCGGCGCTGGGGCCCCCCTCCCCAGGAGTTCCTGGTGCCGTAACGTAAAAAGATCGCCGCGAGGGAGACAAAGGCGGTTGGGCGTGGCGCCGGCTACCCACCCCCCCCCCCCCCTACTCGTGTAGCCTTGACGACTTTCGCAGGCGCCGCTCGCGAAACCGCGCTCGCCCCGACGGCCCGCGGAGGTCCACGCGGGGGACCTTTGTCTTGGGGGGTGCCGGCGGAGGGACGGCGGGTGGCTCTTTGTTAGTGGGACTAAAATAACAAAAGTGCGGATTCCCGCGAGATGGACACGTGGGCGTCCCCCCCGCGGTCTGCTCGCTGAATCGTGAAGATGCGCCGAATGACCTCCGTCGGATTGCGCGCGTTTACATTGTGAGTGTCCGTTGCTTTTGTCGAGTTGTGCGATTGTCCGACGTTCTCGCTCCGCGCGCTCCAAATGTTGGGCATCGAATGCGTGTGTTGTGCTTTGAGGAGGAGGCGGAGGCGGGTTAGGCCCTGTTGCCGTGACAGCGGTGCGTCTGTGAGCGAGGCTGATCGCCTCGAGGAGCCAAATCGGTCAATCCTCTGAGAGCTGTTTATTTTTGCCGCTTTTGAAAACGTGCGAAAAATTTAAATGAGCAATAAAACGTTCGTGAAGTATCGGTCGTGTGACGAGCCAAGAATGTGTGTCCCGTGTGTGACGTCACCCCTCCCCAATAACCAATGAGGGGGTGACGTCACTCCACGTGCCGCACCCCTCCCCAATAACCAATGAGGGGGTGACGTCACTCCACGTGCTGCACCCCTCCCCAATAACCAATGAGGGGGTGACGTCACTGCACGTGCCGCACCCCTCCCCAATAACCATTAGCGGGTGACGATGTGTTACGTGCGATGTCACGTGCGGTGTCACGTGCGGTGTCACATGCTGTGTGTCACGTGCGGTGTCACGTGCGGTGTCACGTGCTGTGTGTCACGTGCGGTGTGTCACGTGCGGTGTGTCACGTGCGGTGTCAACGTGCGGTGTCAACGTGCGGTGTCACGTGCGGTGTCACGTCCATTGTCCGTCCCGGTCCGCGAACCCCTGACGCCTGGTGTCTGCGCGGCTTCGCGCTGGGGCTCCGCGCGGGGCCTCGCGGCGCACCTAGCCTGGCACGGGTAAGGGTGGCATGTAAAAAAAAAAATGCGGCGGCCGTTATTCGGTTGGTTTGTGCAAAGAGACGTTGCATTGAAACCCGTGTTGTGAGTCGCACATGATGTATGATGATGATGATGATGAGTAGGACGATGAGGAGGATGACGATGAGGAGGATGAAGATGAAGAGAAACTTATCGAGGGGGTCCGCCGTTCCCACAGGGGGCAGCCGCCGGTCTAGCGGTGGGACACAATGTGGGCGTGGCTGCAGCTTGTTGGACCCGTGCCGCTGCCTCCGCCGCCTCCGCCGCCTCCGCCGCCTCCGCCCACCGACGGCGGCGGCGGCGATCGCTCCGGCGCGCTTCGGCGCCCCCGTCGCCGGCGGCGGCGATCTCGTTCTTCTTCCACGGCGGCGGCGGGGGCCGGGCCCTGCCCTCGCGGGTTCCGGCGGCCTGTCGCGGCGACGGTCGCGGTTGGTGGCACGCGTCGCTGTGGCCCCCGGCCGCGGGGGTAACGGAGCGCCGGGGGCGGGGGACGAACACGGAGGTTGGCGTCGCATTTTTTTTTCCCCCGGCTCTGTTAAAAATGTGGCGCGTGACAAAGGAGTTGTTGGTCTTTTGCGCCGTTTGTCACTTTTCGTTTACGGAAAATAAAAGTGACGATTATGTCCCTTGTTTATGTGCAGTGTCGTTGATAAAGGAAGGCGTTTTTTCGGTGAAATGTAACAATTTGGGTCTCTGAATGCAACTAAATATATACACTACAAATTCGCACATTCATGGACACAAGGAACAATTTCGAGTTATTTTAATAATAACCGTTGTGGTTTCTAAGCAATTTTTTTTATCTTTATCAAGAGAGATGAACGTTTTGTTCAATGCGCACGTGATTAAAAATGGTTGTTAAAAATGGCACACATTTCCTCTCGGAGATTTCATCGGCATTCAATTAGCACGGCCAAGAAGAATATTTTTGCCTCCCCGGCTGTACACGTTCACAATTCAGTGAGATTGGGAGAGGCAGAGGCTGGGTAGCTCGCAGAGCGAAGCTCAGAGCACAGAGCCTGCACCTTCATCTGAAGATAGCTGACCTAATGAACACAAACTCCACCCAGGAGATGAAATCAGTTCGTCTGCGTGCCCTGGGTGGGTCGATGCATCGCGAGTTCATTGGACGTGCTGGTTGGCGTCGGCTTGGGCCGGCTTTCATCCTGCAGTGGATATGATCACGGCCGATGACAGTGATGATCTTCATGACGTCGTTAACTTGCCGTGTTAAACACATTCCACGTTAAACGTTAACGCAAGCAGCCGTCCTCAGGTGAAGAAACAGCTGTCGGAAAGACAGCGTCCTCATTAGGACAGCTCTGTTCTTCACCTGAGGAGGGCTGCTTGCATTGTGGCCTGAAACGTCGTGAGAATTTTATTTTATTGTTTTATTTTTTATTACTTCCTTTCTACGTGACTTGACCGAAAGAACCGAGTCTATGAATCGCTTGCAGTCACGAAATCTTTAAATCAAAAGTGCCACATTGCCGAGCCTGTTGAACTCAACCATGCCCCGCGTCAATAATCGTGAATTAGGTAAAGGTTGAGAATCCCAGACCCCATCCTCCACGCTCGCCCGAGAAAACCGGCTGAGCGTGTCTGGCAGGGGATAGCAAGCCGTCACCCGACTCTCTTAGGGGCTTGCGATGCAACAACCGTGGGGGGTGGGGGGTATGGAACTTGATGATCGCGAGTATTTGTAGGGGTCCGCGACCCACGACCTCCTGCGTACCAGGCGAGGTAGCTAACATCTCGTCAACCATGGCGCTCCCACACTGCTGAGGTGTCTGGGAGTAGCCATACTTTTACCCCACCGAACGTCACCTGCCGATCGACTTAACTGCGTGGACGGAGGTCGAGAGCGGTGGGGGGTGGGGGAGGGAGATTTATAATCCCTGCCCGATGATTTCAGCTGCCGCGCCGGGAGGTCAAAATCTAAGCGACGACCTCTCTGGACTGCCAGTCCAGCTGCTGGCCACTGGCACAGTGCCAGCAGCCCCCGTGACTCAGTGCCGTCAACGGCACGTTTCAAACCAGGAATGCAATGACGTTGAAGAACATCAATTCGTGGCTAATGTTTATTCCTTAAAATGGCACAGGGGAAGTAAAATCGAGGAAATGTTCAAATCAAGATGTTATGCGTCGTGCGTGTGTGTGTGTCGGGTTCCACATCTGACTTTGCATTTTGAAGTCGGCCTGGTCTGTGAGTTGTCTGGAGCGTCAGCACAGCACGGGCTGTCCACGTCTCCAATGACAATGTCTGGGAAGGCAACCCAATTTCTGATAAGCAAAACATTCCTGCCGTTAAAACAGATTTTAAAAAGGGAATCTGTAGGAAAATGCATTAGAAAGATATTAACTTATAATTAAAACTCAATATCTAATTTAATTGATTGTTCACGCTTACGGTGGCTTTCAGACCGCATCCATTATTTTCGTCTCCCCCCTCCTCTTTTCCCGAACATAGATGGACTCGTCCATCTGAATAACTGCCAAATCGCTCTCCGTGGTGCTAACGTTAAAAAAAAACGCCACTTAAAAAAATGTCTTGCTGTGGTTTTCACACCTGATGATGATTGCTTGTGTTGCAGTCGAAACGTCGTGAGAATTGTATTGTTTTATATTTGTATTATTTTATTGTTTCCCTTCTACGTGGTGACTTTACCGAAAGAACCAAGAATATGAATCCCTGCAGTCACGGAAGCTTTAAATCAAAATTTAAGAAGAATATGACAATATTGTTGTTTCTAGATTTAAAGCTTTCGTGACTGCTAGGATCCATACTCTTTGGTTCTATTGGGTAAAGTCACGTAGGTGAAAATAAAATAACAAAATTTTCACCTACGTGACTTTACCCAATAGAACCAAAGAGTAATATTGTTGTTGCGGATTCCTCGTGCTTGCAAGGAAAACACAAAACATTCGTGCAGGAGAGCCGGCTTCGTTATGATTTTGCTCCTCACTCGTCGAGTCGGTGACTCACTCCCACCACGTGGCCAGAAATAAAGCTGTAAAATAAACGGATTACTTTAAGAAGAGACAATAAAGTCCGATGGCCCCTTCTCTCAGGCATCACCACCCCCACCCCCCACATTCTAGACAGGTCGTTGCATCGCCAGACAGCGTGATGGGAACGGCTTGTGGGAGGCCTCTGACCCCGCAGCGGATAGGTCATGGCTCACAATGAGCAACAGCTGCACGTGCTCCCATGAAGCGTACGTGACAATTCTTCGTGGGTTCTAAACTTCCGTGAGTAGTAACAATACCAATATGTTATGAGACCTCCTTTGCCAGAAACAAGATATAGGAATAGGTTTTACCCTTTTTAACTGGCACAAAAACTGACACCTTTATTCAAGGCGTCATGTTTGCAATGACCACAACACAAGCAGTCAAAATGCAAACAAAAAAGACAACTCTGATAATAATATGCACTGTCCTTGAATTTGATTGGTCCACACCCGAGACAGCTTTTCTTAGAGCCTAGTCTCCATTGGTGTTTTGTGCCAGTTAAAAGGGTAAAACCTATTCCTATATTCCAATACCAATAGGCCCGTCATGAGAAGACTCGCACGCGACAAATTGTACGCGCCCTACGAATATTTAAAAGGCTATACAGCACAGGGCAGTGTGGGCATTTCATTGCATTGCAGCGTGTGGCCAGCAACACCTGGTGCCGGTGTCT